AGGGCTGGACCCTGGCAGGTGACTGCCTCTGCTTGGTCAAGAAACAGCAGGAACTGATCAGAAGGCAGAGCTTAAGCAGTTTCTTCTGTGTTGGGGGGTGGAACTTTTCAGGGTGAAGTTTTCTAGGATGGGATTTCAATTCTAAAGCTTGGGCTTTTCACTCTGTAGGGTGGGGCCTGGGTTCAGCTGTAAACAGAAATTTCTGTGTTTGGCCAGCAAATCCCAAATACCCAGCAGCTGCTTCCCAAATAATTGACTCAGAGGCTTGACATTTTTTTGTTTTTTGTTTTGTTTTGTTTTTGTTTTTCGAGACAGGGTTTCTCTGTGTAGCTTTGCACCTTTCCGGGAACTCACTCTGTATCCCAGGCAGGCCTCGAACTCACAGAGATCTGCCTGCCTCTGCCTTCCAAGTGCTGGGATTAAAGGCATGTGCCACCACCGACTGGCCAGAGACTTGATATTAATTTCAAACTGTTTGGCCTATTGCTCAGGCTCATTACTAACTAGTTCTTATGCTTAAATTAACCCATAATTCTCATCTACACTTAGCCACGTGTCTTGGAACCTTTCCTCAGTGCAGTGTTCTTGTCTTGCTTCCTGTGCATCTGGCTGGCGACTCCTGACTCCAACCTTCCTCTTCCCAGCATTCTTAGTTTGTTTGCCCCACCTACACTTTCTGCATGGCTACTGGCCAATCAGTGTTTTATTAAGCCAATCAGAATGACAAATCTTTACAGTGTACTCGAGAATTATTCCATAGCAGCCAGGCAGCCAGCTGTTTCTGTCATTTTTCACAATTTTTGGAAGTTGCTTGCTTGCACTTCCTGCTTACTTAGCTAATATTATTTCCTTCTTGGGTCTCTGGAGTTGAAAACTAGATAGTTGTAGTTACAGTTTTCCTTGTTAGCAAATTCAGAAAAGAAACTCACTAAAGAGGTATAAAGTGTATAAGTTTGAGAGACATCAAAACATAGTTTCGTTTGGTAATACAAGTTAGGATAGAAAGTGAATTAGGTACAACACTTTGGACTCACAAAAATAGGATAAATAATGGAGTATTTTCTTGGAATTTGTCAAATGTTAATGGACTCACCATTATTGATCTAATTATTACATGTATATAGTTATTGTACTTATTGAATATAGTTTTTCTTATATTATAATCTTTTTTATTTTAGATAAAAAAGGGAAATGTGGTGATATTTTGTGTATGATCTAACAAATAAAGCTTGCCTGAAGATCAGAGGACAAAGCCAGACACCAGTTAGCCATAGAGACCAGGTAGTGGTGGCACACACTTTTAATCCTAGCACTTGGCATCTCATGCCCTTGCTCCCAGTACTTGGGAGGCCTTTAATCCCAGCACTAGGGAGGTTGAGACAGGAAGTGATATGGCTGGTGGAGAAAGGAGTATAAGGAAGGAGGAGAAAGGAGCTCAGTCCTTCCAGCTGAGGAGTTGGTGAGGTGAGAGTTAATCGTGGCTTGTTCCTTTGTCTCTCCGCTCTTTCAGCATTTACCCAAATATTGGCTCTGGGTTTTTATTAAGATCAATTAGGATTCATGCTACATCCAGCTGTGGGTAGAACCTGGTAGTTGGAGGAACTCGGGGGAGAGGCCTGTCCTCTGGTGTGCAGCAAGGTGCTTCCATTTCCCCTTTTTGTTTATTATTGATAAACAATCAGGTTATAGCAAAGGAGGGTATGTTATCATTATAAACTACTCTCTGTGGAATTGGGGCAGCAAAATCCTTTGGGTGAAGTTGATCTTCACTATCCTGGTATAATCAGGAGTCCCTGGCCTCTGACTTTGTAGCTAGGGGCCAGTAATCCTGTAATAGTTACTGATTTAAAGTCTGGTTAGACATCTTTTGACTCTGTTGTTGAAGTCTAGACAAGAAGTTTATAAGGCAGAGTGTGACTAGTAGGATTAAGAAAAGGAGGAGAAAGGGGGTTAGAAGGGGTAATATCCAGTTCCACATTAGACTGTCTATGGGCCACTGGCCAGAGACATCCAGCTGTTTCATACATTTTTGGAGATCCATCTGGAGTTCACCTGACTGGTTGACATGGAAGCAGCATTGCTTTCTGAAGAAGGGACAAAGACCACCTCTCTCTGCTGTTAGTAAATCTAGTCCTCACTGATTTTGTAGCACTATGTTGGCCAGTGAGTCTATCTGGCCCTGGAGGGTAAGGATGGTCTGAGCCACCCGTTGGAGATCCTGGATGAACTTAGATGAAAACTGATGGTCAATAGCTAGGGAAGTATTCAGTCCCACCGCCCTGGTGGTGATGTCTGTGGTCATATCCAGGACTGCTATGACCCGAACAGCTTGTGTTTCCTGCCATGCCACTATAAACCCTGTGATGGGAATGGGTGAGGGCTGTTCACCAGGTCCCAGGCCCTAGTTTGAGAAAGAAATGCCAGGGTACAAGTCCCAGACCACCCAGCAGGTAGTTGGTGATTAACCTGAGTGCCACAGAGACTTGAGGCATTTTGGTTGTTTGGGCTTAGGAGCATGAAGGGTCTCAGGCTTTGGGAGGCCAGGGAGCCTGGGCAGTTGCTGTGGCCAGGGGAAAGGCCTTCACTAGCTTCATGCATTTTTGTTTTCAGGCTTTTTCATCTCTCCCATGGTCCACATTAAGGGCCACTGTTAAAAGACTTTTGCCTGTGGAGTCAGGGGGTCTTTCTCTAGGCATTTAAGTTTTGCCTTAACACCAGAGAAACTCTGGGAGAAGAAGTAGGTCATAAGGAGTTGTTTTCTGTCTGGGGTCTCGGGATTTAGATTGGTATATTGTAAGAGGGCCTTTGTGAGGGAGTCTAGGAATTGAGATGGGTTATCACGTTTGTCCTAAATGACTTCTTGGATTTTTTCATAATTTACCACTCTAAGGGTGGCCTTGTGAAGACAAGCTGGGAGGCAAGTTACAAACTGATCCTTAGCAAGGATGCTCCCTGGGATATTGTAATTCCATTCAGGGTCCTGATGGGTAGACAGCCTCAGCCCTGACTGTGTGGGCAGCCTGTCGCTGAGGATGGGGGAAGGGAAACCAGAGAGCCTGGAGGGGAAGAGAAGGGCCTGTGGGTTGTGGCTGATAAAAGGAAGGCTCCTTGCTCCTTAGTGTAATTGAAAATAGTGGAGGAAAACCATCTGGTTTGGGCCTCACAGATAGGAGTTTTTTTTTTTTTTTTTTTCGTTGATTATCTTATGCCATGTGGTCACTTTTAGTGACGATGAGAGTGAGGTCACATGACAAAGTCCACTCTTTCCAACCCTAGCAATGATGGTTGTCAGCCACATGGCCGTCTCCGTTCCAGTGAGGGGACAGCAGGTATGGTGGCAACAAGTCACATGTTTCCTTTAAGATTACATATGTGTAGACTTTTAACTATCAACTCGATGTTACGAGTTTTAAGTTAATCCCTTTGTTACAGATTTTACATTGTTTTAATCATAACCAACATGCTTACAAACCTTGAGGTACAGAAAATTTACACAAACAGGTTTACAAACCTTGAGACAAGATTTATATCTTAGCAAAAAGTTTCAGAGAGTTAAACCCAAACCAAGAGCGTGTGAGATGAACAGCAATAGCCCCTACTGGGGGGGCAGGCGGGGCTTATATTTTGTTTTGCTCTTCTTTCTCTGTCACATAGTCAAGTGGCTCTCCTGATATGGGATAGATATTGTGGAAGAAACCTTTAAACAAGCATGCTTGGGTCTAGAGGAGGGGAAGCCATGTCTCACCTCCAGAGCCAGCATAAGTGGGGTGGCATAAAACAACTGTCTAACGCCAATGGTGCCTAAAAGACACTCGACTCCCTGTAAAACTGAATCCAGTCAGCTGAGGACGAAAAAGGCTTAGAGATAGGAAATTTGTGAGCTCTGGCTGTGGACAGGGGGTACTGCAGAAGGGAGCCGAGAGACACAGCAGCCAGAGTGTGTGCAGTGCGTGTGCACATTGTAACTGGCTTACTCCTTCGCCTTCTCCTCCTCCTGCTAGGTGGAGCTCCTGGCTCCCATTTTGTAACAAACTCACAGATCAATCATTTGCTAAGTTAAAAGACAGGACATTTACACTATGAGAGGCAAGGAAGAGTTAAGAAAAACAAAGAGGGCTTGAAGTGGAGAAAAAGGAAATAGGGAACAGGGAATCTCTCTCCATTTCCCAGATTGCCAGCAGTATTTGTAAAGGTCCCAAATAACATTAGGATCTAGAGTGCTGTCAGGCAGGCAGCCCTTTGTGTTGCTTACCTAAGGAGTATTGAGGCCAAACTCTATTGCAAAAGCAAATAAATTTAGCGCCCTTCAGATCGGGTGTCAGATGGAGAGGCTGGGGGTTTTCTAAGAGGCATCCTAAGGGGGAATGAGAGAGTCTAGAAGACACCATTCCTGTAGATGAGAGAGAGAGAGAGAGAGAGAGAGAGAGAGAGAGAGAGAGAGAGAGAGAGAGAGAGAGAGAGAGAGAGAGAGAGAGAGAGAGAGAGAGAAGTCACTGCAGCCTATAGTTGTGGGCATCCCCAGGACTCAGAGAGGACCAAATGAGGACCAAGCCATTCAGTGGGTCATTAACACAGTTTTCAGTGGGGAGGGCTTAGTCAGCTAAGCCTGGAGGGACTCTGCCTGGTACCAGGGCTTTTGTAGAGGTGAGATGGCAAGGACAAAAATGGAGCTCTGAGGGGGTCTCAACCACAGGAAAAGGTTGAAGAATGGAGTCACAAAAGCCATGAGGGCCTAGAGGAGCTGTGGGATTAGAGGCAGCTCCTAAGGGAAGACAGGAGAAGCAGGCAAGAGGCGACATAACAGCCTGGTTGGGCCTAAGGAAACTGCAGGATTGCAGCTCCAAGGGTTGGGGGATGAGGTCAGATGAAGAGGGCCAGCTATAGTCTTAAATAGCATGACTGGGCATACCACCTCCAAGAGTACCAGGGGGTGCCAGAAATTCAGTGGTCACTTCCTTGGACTCAGGAAAACGTTTACACCAACTAAAGAAGAAACTTACCTCATTGATGTTGGTGGATGGAGTACTGGGCAATTACTGAGCTGGAAGGTGAGTCTGTTGCTGGTGAACTGGAGATGAGGGATAGGGCCCTAGTACAGCCAAGGCCCCTGAGGGGCAACGCAGGCATGAGGAGAGTCTATCCCAGGTTTTGGCACCAAATGTGTGATAGCTCAGGTGGAAAGGTATCCTGGCAGTTCGAAGCCAAGGAATGCCACAAAGTCATACCTCACAACAAACCTCACACAGATTTGTTGGGAAAAAACCAGGAGGGTGGCTGCCTCTGCTTGGATGAGAAACAGCAGGGACCTGAGTAGAAGGCAGGGCTTATACAGAGCTTCTTCTGTGTTGAGGGGGTGGGACTTTTCAGGGTAAAGCTGTCCAGATAGAAATTGGTGGAATTTCAATTCTGGAGTTGAGCTTTTTACTCTGGAGGGTGGGGGCTGGCTCCAGTCATTAGGTCAGTTAGTGTTCTTTAGGTGGAACCTGGCAGTTGGAGGTTCTTGGGGGAGGGGTTTGGCCACTTGTGTGCGTCAAGAGGGTTACAGAAGGGCTACAAATTTTTTTTTTTATTTAATCTTGTATCCAGCTGTTTTGATGAAGGGGCTTATCAGCTGTAAGAGTTTCCTGGTAGAATTTTTTGGGGTCCATTTATGTAATGGAAACTCTGAAACCATAAGATAGCCCCAACTAAATGTTTCTTTTATAAGAATTGTCATGGTCATTGTGTCTCTTCACAGCAATAAAACCCTAAGATAAAAGTTGGTACCATGAATAGGGTACTGCTGGAATAGGCCTGACCATGCTTTTGTTTGGAAAAATTTGAACTTTGGGAACTTGGGTTAGGAAAGCAGTGAATTCTTCAAGTGCTATTTAATGGACCATAGAAGTAAGAATATGGAAGATAGTGGTGTGGAGGGTGATTTGAACTGTGGAGGTCTGGCTCATGTGGTTATGGAGGAGAAGAATTTTAGTATGCTGCCTAGAGATCATTCTTGTGACAGTTTGGTGAAGAATGTGACTGCTTTTTGCCTTGTTTAGAAAGTTGGGCTGAGACTAGTATGAAGAGTTTTGGGTTAATTCTGTTGGCAAAGGAAATCTCAAAACAGCCTCGTGTAGACTCGCTTGTATAGTTATTAGTGTTATCTGTAATGAAGATTTATAAAGAAAGGGGGAAAGCGGAGCAAGGAAAAATATAAAATGTACACATTAATGAAGAAGGAGCACCAGGAAGAAAAATGGAGCTAGGTCCTGTGTTCAAAAAGATAAACAGATTCAGAAATGGAATAAAGGGAGTGGTGACCTCAGGGAAAGATCCCACCCAGCTGAGTTTCCAACCTGTGAAAAGGAGTTTAAAAAAAAAAAAAGCTTAGATCCAGGTATAGTGGTACATACCTTTAATCACTGCACTGGGAAGGCAGAGACTGGCTGAGTTTGAGGCTAGTCTGCTCTACAGATCCAGTTTCAGGACAGCCAAACTTAGGCACTGCTGTGGGATGTGCTGTATGGCAAATGTGTTGCTCTGATTGGTCAATAAATAAAACACTGATTGGCCAGTGGCTAGGCAGGAAGTACAGGCGGGACTAACAGAGAGGAGAAAAGAAAGAACAGGAAGGCAGAAGGAGTCACTAACAGCCGCCGCCAGGACAAGCAGCATGTGAAGATGCCGGTAAGCCACGAGCCATGTGGCAAGGTATAGGTTTATGGAAATGGATTAATTTAAGCTATAAGAACAGTTAGCAAGAAGTCTGTCACGGCCATACAGTTTGTAAGCAATATAAGTATCTGTGTTTACTTGGTTGGGTCTGAGCAGCTGTGGGACTGGCGGGTGACAAAGATTTGTTCTGACTGTGGGCAAGGCAGGAAAACTCTAGCTACAAGGCACTGAAGGACAGAAAGCCAGTTAAAATGTAATTGAATAAGGGGGCCATGTTTCAGCATAAGGAAGCAGCAGAACTTGGAGCTTTGGTAATGTAGTTCTGGCTTTAGAGTTAAGGATAGAAGAACCATGTTATGGAATTTTCCTCCATGATTAAAGAAAGCTATTGAGACCAGGCATGTGTCAGAGGTGTCCCTGAATGAACGCCCAGTAGAGAGGCCATTGTGTGAAGCTGTGAAGGTGAAGCTATGGTTGGTTGCCTTGAGGACCCCAAGATGTTAGAGATGCCAGACTTGTGGGATACCTGCTGAGGAAAGCTGCTAACAGCGAGTGGAACCAGCCCAAAAGAAAGGAGTGTGTTGCATTCAACAAAGCTGAACAGAGTTCGGGATTTGAAGAGCATTTTCACAATAGACATGCAGATGTAGACTTCGGAGTTTCCCCAGCTGGTTTTCAATCTTGATTTGGTCCAGTATTTCCTCAGTATGCTCCCTTTCCTATGTTTTGGAATGGTAATATATATCCTGGGCCATTATATGTTGGAAGTATGTGATCTGTTTTTTTTTTTTAAATTTTATTTTATAGGGGATTACAGTTAAGAGATTGCATGAATATCTCAGAAGAGATTTTAAACTTTGTACTTTTAAACATGTTGAAACTGTTATAGACTATGGGGACTTTTGCAATTTGACTAAATACATTTTGCATTATGATATTGTTACAAGCTTATGGGACCAAGAAGTAGAATGAGGTAGTTTGAATGTAATTGGCCCCATAATCTCATGGGGAATGGCACTATTAGGAGGTGTGGCTTTGCTGGAGTGGGGGTGTCTTTGTTAGAGGCAGTGTATCACTGTGGGTGTGAGCTTTGAAGTTTCCTATGCTCAGGATACTTCCCAGTGTCTCAGTTGACTTCCTGTTGCCTACAAGATGTAGGACTCTCAGCTATTCCTCCAGCACCACATCTGCCTGCATGCTGCCATGCTCCCTGTCATAATGATAATGGACTGAACTTCTGAAAATATAAGCAAGCCACTCAATTAAATGTTTTCTTTATAAGAGTTACCTTGGTCTTGGTGTCTCTTCACAGCAATAGAAACCCTCAGATGCTGTCCAAGTTGCTTTTGGTTATGATCTTCAGAGCAGTGATAGAAACTTAACTAGGACTCAGTCTTCCAGGCAAGATGCTTTATCCTGAGAGAAGAGTAACTCTATGAAAAGAAAGTTGTTAGGATAGCTACTAGTTTACATGGAAATGGTAAAGCAAAGAGAAGCTACTAAAATAGTTTTACAGCTCTGTTCCTTGTTAAACCAGAAACCTGTACCCATGTCTATAAATTCATTTAGAGTCCAATTTTAGTGTCATTGTCTGTCTCTTAGGTTTTTTTTAATGACAAAGAAAAACCTTTCCAACCTTGAAAACAGATGCAATGCTCCAAAGTACACATCGTCCTGTTGTCCACCTATCCACACTGTGAATAAGGAGGAAGTGTGTTTGTTGTTTTCCTTCTGAATTCTGAGAACACTCTAAGTTTGTAGATTGCTAAAGGCAGTTGAGATCTCACTTTGTGACTTACACTGGTCCAGGCTTGCCTCAAACCCACAGCCACCCTCCTGCTTTAGAACCCTCAGCTACTGGGATTACAAACATGAGTCACCAGACTTTAATATAAAAGAGTATTTTTTTTTTCACATGAAATGCTCCTGGATCCTAGCAGTCTATACACTGTATACACTATACAGAATATTCTCTTACAATTGTCCATTTCTGTGAGGTTGGTAGAAATATTGTCACATTTAGGCTCACATGGCTTACATCTGGTTCTTTTCCATTTCTTCCTCACTGATCTATGTAAACGCTTGTCACTCTCTTGATCTTTTCAAGAACCAGCTTTGGTTTCATTGATTTCCTCTTGTTTTTCTAGTCACAGTTCCTTTAGCTCTCCAGCTCTATTTTTTCCTTTGAAACAACTGGTTCTCCTCAATTTCCTCAAGGAATTCTTTATGTGATAATCCATGTTGCCTTTCAAGGCCACAATCTCAGGCTTTTCTTTATTCATTTATAGACACACATTTCCTGTGCAGCACTATTCTTACCAAAGTACATCTAGTCTACCTGGGATGACTTCCATCTTATCTCTTGTCTCCAAGTATTCTCTAAGTTCTTTCTAATAAAAAAATAGTATTTATTATTATCATTTTATTATTATTTAAATATTTGCAAATGTTTTTATCTGCTGAGACACTTTACCTGGTACCTAGTTCTTATTTCATTTTGAACACATGGGTTGTTTATGAGGGTACCAGATTTTCATGTATTTGTTATTTTTCAGTTTCTCTTCTGTTGTTGACTTCCGGTTTCATTTGCTAGTGGTCAAACAGGATATTGTTTCTAATTTCAATCTACTTAAAATTAATGAAACAACCTGTGCAGTAATACATAATATGCTTTATAGAACAGTTCATGTGGACTTGAGCAGCATGTGAACTCAGCTGCTGTCATGTGACCACTTTTTCACCTCTCTTTTGCCAGGTTCCCTGTAACGCTGGTTCATACCCATCCCCCACCCCTGCTGTCCTGACTAAGTTTCTATCCAGTAAAAGTTGTTAAAGTTAAAGGGAATTTAATGTCTAACTAAAGTTAAAGGCAAGTTAAAAACTCCCTAAAAATCTTTGGTATTTGTCATGTCTGTCTCTAGTGCCAGTAAATATGATCTAAGAAATACTTAAATAATTTGGTTTTAGCCGGGCGGTGGTGGCGCATGCCTTTAATCCCAGCACTTGGGAGGCAGAGGCAGGTGGATCTCTGTGAGTTCGAGGCCAGCCTGGGCTACCAAGTGAGTTCCAGGAAAGGTGCAAAGCTACACAGAAAAACCCTGTCTCAAAAAAAACAAAATAATAATAATAATAATAATAATAATAATAATAATTTGGTTTTAGATAACTTTTATTTTCTAATCTTTCTTTAAAAAAAAAACCCTAATTTATAGTCAATGAATTTTCATTTAGAAAGTACAAATTACTTCTAAAAATCTAATCATAGTTACCCTATTTTCTAGACGTAACTGTTGTAAGTATATTGACATTTCTCATATTTATGATAAGTGCACTTCTGGTCACTATTGCCTGAATCTCCTCCCAGCTTTTGACTAACATTCCAGGATTCATGGGACCTGATAACAACATCCTGGTTTCAGCAGGAAGTATTACACAGGAGAGTACATTACTCTTTGTCCTCAACATGCTGAAATGGTAGATCAAAGGAAACTCCCTGTCATAAGAGAACAACATGGCTACCTACAGTGCCTATTGGTATACCAGCAAAGGTAACTGTTAAAAACCAAATAGACCCAGATCTATCAACAGGTATATTCATTAGCTAGAATAGTTCTACAACATTAGGCACTCAACCTGCTCTACATAAAACAGAGATGTTATTGTATAGCTTTAAGAAAAATTGTTTCTATACAAACCATTTGAGAATCATTAGAAATAATTTGGTTATACGCAAAAACATTGCAAAAAAATTTGGCTATACTAAAAAAAAAAGGGACCTGAGATGAAATAT